TTTCCAAACCTGGAGTGACCAGAGGAGCTGTTCTGTTGGAGGTGATGTCCTTTGTATGAGAAGCTAAATCAGGGTCCAGATTTGTTGGTCATTTAAGATTCCATTTCTCTTTTCAAAGGGGTAGAGTGTTAATCCCAGTGACTGGATTGTGCAATCTGAGTTTCCTGAAGATGCCCCTTTTAATTCAGCTTCAGAGGAGGATTAAGTAGGCCCCTTCTCTGTGTAAATCAGTCTGGGATCACACGTGCTATATAAGGCAATTTGGGTGTTGTTGGTGTGAGACAGTGTTAACATATTCAGTACATCTCATATTAGTAATAACAATAGCTATATAATCTGCAGTGTTGCAATTGACCACTACAGGGCGTAGTAGAGCACATTATTCTTAGAACCCGACCGAGGTCTTGTCTTAAACTAAAGAGTTTCTTGTAAAAGAAAATAAGATCCTCTAGTAACATCATATTTGTTATTTTTACTGTATTTAGCTTGGATGAAAATAGGGTTTCCTTCTTCCATGTTTAAGGGTCCTCAGTGGTCCTAAAGAAAGTTTTATGGCACAGTAGTCGTGCTTTGTTTTGCTTTGATTCTAATTGTTCTAATGAAGAAATATAATTATTTCCTTATTGTGTAAATATTTTGCAGGGGGAACTTTAACATTGGAAGAAGTAAGAAGAAAACAGGAGGAGCAGATGAAAACATGCAAAAAGCTTCACCATCTGAGACCTGAGACTAGAAATTAGAAAATACATCGTGCACTGTTTTGGCATAATCTTTGATTCGGTATCATTGCAAATTAGGGGGATCACGCAGAAACGATCGGTTTTTCACTGTTATATTGAGGCATAGGAGAAAACGTATTAGTTACCACGAGTAAATGTAGTGATGAATGAAAATCAAGAAGAAACATGTTTTATTCATATATAACCATTGCTAACCTGGGGATTATCTTGAATACACCGTATATTGATGTTTGTATTATCACATACATTACATATTTTAACACATATAAACATTCATCATCTTTAAAATTGGTTCACGGTGTACATGTTTTCCATTTTTTTCTTCCGTAATTCCAGTTTGCTGAACTTTATCGGTTAATAAAAAATATTATCACTACTTTTAACATATTACTGTACCTACTGTATGTTTGAAGTTACTCGTGTTTTTAAGAATTTTGTGAAACGGCAGCTCTGGTGCTGTAGCCACCACATGCGAAAACCATTTAGTTGAACACGTTATTGTCATTTAATGCTAATTAAATAATCTTTTTTTGTCCCGCAATGGATAATAAACCGTGGATTGTGGTTAAACAAGTTGTACCGGATGGGATATATTTCTGAAAATCATATATACGAAATAAAAATGCTGCTGAAACTGAAGCTTAAACGAAAATGGGGAGTATTTAAAAATCACAGTGGTTATTTTCTCTGGTTTGTAGTTATGACATTTACCGAACGTTTCTGCAAACAGATCGGGATGTTATTGACAAGAGAATGGCGGTGCCATCCATAATACACGAGCAACAAATAGCCATACATATTAATGAGGACCCCGACAGAAAGCGGTTGCGGTGAAAATGTTCGACCTGATATGATCCATAAAAATGTGATCCCTGAAATAACAAATGAGCTTCCTTATGTAAAAAACTACATTTCCCATGAGCGACGGCTGGTATTTGTCTCTGCGACATGGCAAGGAAATGTTTTGGTTCTGGGTCTTTCATCCTTGAAAATGATCAAGCAATAAAACTGTCTGTTGTGTAATTTGTTGCAGCACGAAAAAATAAGTTAGTTAAACCATTCTAATGCAGTATAAAATAAACCGATTTTTATATAGCCGCGGAGTGTTCAGTTTTTATTTCTTTTGTTATTGTTTGATCAACTAAGCTCCACCTACGTTTGGCATGGTATAATCGGAATGCCGGCTAGCACGTCCATTTTTCTTAGTAGGGGTGAATCGTAAAAAGCGTAACTATATATTTGCATCTGTGTACTCCTGAAATAGGAGATGCCTGAACTATGAAATATTTTCGTTTGTAGTTGATCATTTTTGTGTTCATTTTATCCCTTCATTCGCGTGAAGGGTGTCCCCCCTCCCCCCCCCCTACATGCCGAGGTTGGCACGGTCGGTTGCGAGGCCTCTGCAGTAGGGAGTGTTTTTAGAGGAAGACCACGAAAGTTGATACTCGTTAACGGGGAAATGTTTTAAGTTTGATGTCATTTTACTACAACTTTGCACGCGAAGACCGAGGAGAGGCATTGAAATCGATTTCGAGACGTGGTTTGTTCAGTGAAAGCGGGGGTCCAGGTACCGGAGCTTATGATGCCTACGTTGCGGGACAGTACTATGTCCCACCCAGGAGAGAATCCTAACCAAGTGCGGGTGAAAGCCTATTATAAGGGGTGAGTGGAAATCAGTATATTGGCTGGATCGGTCCGGATTAGTGTGGCTGTTTTGAAATTTGTACTGAAAAGAAACGAGGAGTGTTTTACTTGAGGAATGGTTTTAGCCACACGGTGTGCGACCTAGCAGGTGAAATCTTCTTGGATCGGATAACTACCATTCTTGTTTGTAACCTATGTTTGGAGGTGACGGACGTCACCGGAGACCTAACTTGATAGGGAGGGCATTCATGTTTTAAAGATATGGCAGATCAGAAACCTTTTTTTAGTTTTCTCCCACAGACCAAACTTGGTAGAGTTCTGGTTTAAGGAATGCGATCCCAGGGCTACGATCGTGAACTCTTTTCAGAGCTTTATTGTTTAAATTCGTTGGGTATGGTATCCTTCATTCGCCATTAATAATATTAAAGTCAAGTCGCAACAAGCCTCGTTTTTACACCTACGATGTTCTTAACTATGCTGTGTGATTAACCGATGAGTACACATCGAGGAATGGTCACAATGGTACCGATGCGCTGTTCTTTTCATTCAGAATTTGAAGCCGTTTCGTGTAAGGAAAACAATTGAAATCAGGGCATTTTCAGGACACGATTTTTCATCTTAGCCACTGGCTTTGGACGGGACTCGTGTTTTAAGGCTAACAGAATGCCACCTACTCAATAATGCGTAATGTAGGTGTTGGTGTCGCATGTTGATGACCACTGACGGAGCTGCCGTAGAGTGAAGCTGCGCGGAGCCCGAGACCCGCACGGACAGGTTGTGCGGCTGCGGTAGTAGCAGTAACCTTTTACGCCTTGGCACACCTTGTTTCTCTTGCAGCTTAAAAAAAAAACATCTTAAGTATCAAGGGAGATCTTTGCACACAAGCTCGGTGAACTGTGTCTCAAGTGAGAGCCGGGGATGTCTAGCGCCGTAGTAAAGACGTGCGGATGGAGTTGTCTGTTTTTGCTTTTTGTTTAGTGAGATTTGTGCGGAGAGGTGGCAGCCCTGGCACAGTGGAGTCCTGTAGCAATTCCTGTTTGTAAACTGAGGTTATTCTAATGAAGGCAGTAAGAGAAATGATTAATTGCATTTGTATATATTGCTTTTCACCCCAGAGGTGCCCAGAGCACTTTATATATAGCAGAGAATACACTTCCATCATTGAAGTGCAATGACGTCTGATTATTTTCAAGCGATTAGGACCGAAAAATAGAGTTTTCGAGCATGTAGTTATAGAATGTGAAGAATTTTGTTGATGTCATACCGTATGAAGAGGTTTGTTCCGTTTCAGGTGTCATCCTCCTGAGCCACAGGTATTCTGTTACTCTCACAGAAAACACAGTCTGAATAATTGCTCTTTGCCATTTTTGATTTTTTGTTTAGATTTCTGTCTTTGACTCATCTAATGAGATACTGTAACCTGTTAAGATCTATCTGTGCTACTAAACGGTTTGCTAATTTGAGGTTTGCGTAAGTCAGTTGAGTTGTAAGATGGAAAGCTTTATGTGGAAGTTGTACTTTACCTTACATTTTGGAAGGCGCTAACAATGGTGTGCTGAATCATGAAAAACCTGTCAGATGAGTTTCTTCTGACCTTTCGCAATCCCAATCACTGTCACTGCATGTGTGCTGTTGTACATTTCTGACATTTCAGAAGTGTTTCTTTTCAAATAAAGAATGCAGAGTATTTCTGAAATATTTACAGGACCATATCTGCTTATGAAATGCTAACAGTAAAAAAAGAAGCCCCTTTGTATACATGTCTGCATGAATTTCTGAATTCATAAAAATTGCCAAAAAATGTCTTGTTCTTGTGCATAAACAGAACATTTTGAAATAAACTGATGCTTGGTGAAAGCACACTGTAGGACAGCTCTGTATTCACCTGAGGTCATGAACGTCTGCCTCGGGCCTTTGGGTTTTATCTCAGTCGCTGACCTTGATATTGTCCAGATAGGGAGTGGAGAAAAAGCACATGCCTGCCAAGATAAACAGCACATAACAAACCGCACTGAAGTGAAGCTTCCAATTGTGCATTTCTGAAAGGAGTAGACTCGCAGTAGCTGACTGACACTTGATTCAAGTGTTCTTTTTAATAAAACATCGTATTGTACTGTAGGTGTTGCGTAGTCATATACTGACTTATTATCGTCCTACTCCCCACCTCGCAGTTCTCGTTTGTCTGACCCCACTCTGCTGTCTGTCCTCATACTGGTCTGCGTACAGGGGGTAACAGGGCTTTCTCTTGCAATGGCCCAAAGCTAATTTTTACTTGTCTTAATTCTGTTATCTTCTCCCCTTTTTTTCTTACTGTTAAGCACTTTGAGAAGATGCATTTATAGGAGCTATACCAAATAAAAAATGTTATTATTTTTATTTGATTATTATTGGATAATATCGCACAACATTACTGCATGGCCATGATTTACGGTTATTCACAAACATGTAAACCGCGTTTACGAAAAGGATTTTATTGCCTCTGACATTCCGATCTTTCAGACCTCAGCGGTGGCACTGTTTTGACCCCATGACTGCTGCAGCTTAAATGAAGTTGATTTCTTTTAAAAAACGTATTTAGTTGGGTTATAGAATAACTCTCAACTATACTCTAAGATAAGCATGGAGGCGAAGGCTTCTGAAGGCATCAGAGCTGGACTGAAGCGTCAGAATAGATGTTTTTAGATTAATAGCCTTCTGTAATGTGGGTGAATGCAGGACACATGTTCACTTTTAAGAATAAAGCCTGCATTTCCATCCATACACCCAGCAGGAGAAATCTAAAATACCCTGAGGAGTGGGAGAATGGCAAGACTCACTTTGTCGTAAGCTTCACTGAGGGAAAGGTGTGACCCATTGAGCTCGTTATGCAGTAGTGACCACACCTAACACATCCTTTAGCAGCAGATCGAAATACTTAGTCACAAAATATTTGAAGGCATATAAAATTACAAAGAATATACTAAATTCATCTCGATCTATAATATCTGTAATAGGAAAACCACTTTCTCCAGCTAAGATGAAACACACTATGCAGTACACATAATGTCCCACTCTTATGCTGTCGAGTGGGAGGTATGGTAAAAAAAAAAACATTTGTTTTGTTGAACAATTTGTAGCTCTGTTGCATCAGCCCCAAAACCAGCACTGAAGATGTTTTCAAAGCAGTTTAAGAGAGAAACAAAATTAAGCAGTTGTTTATTCCCTATGAAAAACAGCTGCCACAACTAGGAGACCTTAAGGTTTTCCTGCGATTTTCCTGCACTATAAAAAATTACACAGTTGGACATGAAACAGAACTTAATAAAAAAAAATTAATGAAGCATTATGAAAAACTGCATGTTTCATCTACCCCAGTATTGGCAGATTAACATTGAATTCATTTAACCGGTGTATTTTGTTCTTGTTGTCTTTACCAATAAGATCTGTAGTATTTGGCATTATGGCAACTTTACACAAGAATGGACAAAAGATCTGTTTAATGTTAAGCATGGAAGAGTTAGCTTTTAGTCAGGCCTTTGAGCTACAGAAATGCAGGACCTGACCTGGGACATGAAGTGCAATTGCAGAGATGGAGGTGTATCTCCTTGATAAACGTTAGTAGACTATAGTAAGACTACAGTAATGTGTGTGAAATCTGTCTACAGAATTATTACTTTTTATTTCATGACATAAGGAACTAGTAAGCAAATGAAGTTTTATTCATTTTAGTAAACCTTTTCAATCTCCTTATTTCAATTCCTCCTTTGATTGATCATATTCAGTCCTGGTATCTATACATCTATATTTCCTGAAGATAGTTTGAAACTGACTTTCAGTGTATTGCTATAAAAACGTGACCCTTAATAGTTAGACTTAAGTGTAGATTGCTGATGGTGGGTGCCTTCAGCAGATATTCCTTTGAGCACCACTGGGCTTGAGAGAGTTCATGAGGTCATCTGTGCTTTCACAGACACTGTAAACAATATTTGGTCGATGTGTTTTCAGTAAGAGAATTGTTTTGACAACAGCAGTTAAAAAGGACTTTGCAGACCTAGGGTCAGAGGTTGTTCTGGATGTTGTAGTACTAGCAAATTGAGAATGGGAAAACTCTTCCTGCACGTGAGACTAGCAGCCCATTGCTGAGCGACCCTCTGAGCAGTGCTGTAGAGGTGCACTGGCTGGGGTATCTGGGCTTAACTGCTTTGCTCAGGAATGCAAGACGGGTATCTGCATTGGGCTCTAATGAGTTACCACTGTGTTACCACAACCTAGCCCTGCTGCAATCGCATATGTTGAAACAAAATCCAGAAAATCTTCGTCTTTGATATTTTTCCCCCCGTTGGAAAACAAAAAATCAATGTGAGGAGGAGGTTTCTTTCTTTTTTGCTCAACACTTCTTTTAACGTTGGCATGGCCTACTCCGAATGTTCTGTCAGTTTCAAAGGGAAATACACATCTGTGTAACTTCCCCTCGTACATAACGCCATCAGAAATTGACACATGCCTCTGTTTTAGAAGAGAGCCAGCATTACAGCTGTTTCGCTCTGCATCTACACAGGACATTCCTAATCCAAAGAGTCCAGGAGCCTTCTGATTGCATAATCGAAGAGCTGGTTGCTGTAACGGGCAGGTCCGAGTTTTGAAGTGTATGTAAGACCTAACTGGTGTCCTCCCCGATAGTGATCTTTTCTCATTTAATTCTGGTGTCGGCACTAGGGAGCACAGTTTGAAATGATAGGTTGCTCTCTGCCTGGCAGATGGGCTGATGGTGCTTCAGAGGGCGATTTAGGTACTTGGGGTGTGATATCTGGCTTTTTAATTTATTTAGCAAGCTTATCTAGCCTGCTCAGAAGGTCCCACTATATTAAATATGCCAGTAGTATCGTGCTCATCGCAGATAGTGTCGAGACGGAGCTCTCACAGTGCAGGGGGTGTGGGTGCCAGTCAGGCAAGAGTTTAAAAGGAAAACATGGATCTTTGTCCTGCCTTAAAAGACAAGAAATAAATACAGGTGACTGGTTCCAAATTGTTTCAGTTAACATTGACCTTGTATTTACATTAACAGTGATTGTTAGACCTAATTGGTCTGACAAACACAGCACTGAAGGGTCTGAGTAAGAACATTTTAATGTTCTCATTCACCAGTACTAGTCAGAGGACCCGTAAATCCAAAACATTTACTCATTTACTTATGTGAAATGAGAGATGTTTTAGACAGAATTTAATAGGAAGAGATAAAAATTGTTTGGACACAGTTCTGTTCATTGCTGACCTTGTCTATATTAGTTCTCAGGTTATACTGGCTTTTTACTAGACTGTCCTGCTCTATTTGTTTGTTTCTGAAGGCCAAAATACAGCTCAAGCATTAATATGCAGTTTGTGCTGTGTGTTCTGATACTGCGTTGTTTCTAAAATTCAAATTTGTCATAATACCCCAGGTGAGAATATTATTTTTGCATTTAGTAGGTTGCAGTGCAAGCTTATTCACATAATGTTTGCATACTGTAACTCTCTCCTTAACGTTTTAACTACTTTCCCTTAAGACTTTTAAGTTTCTTTTTCTGAATGCCTCAATTTGGCTCTTGAACACCAGGGTGCTTATCAGTTAGTCCTTGGGAGTGTGTGCTTGCAAAGAAAACAAAACCAGTGATGCCAGTAAGAGATAAGAGGCAATTTAGAAATGTTAGTTAATAAACTGGCTGAGTTGACATCAGGACTCAGGAGCCTGATGTCACAGGTAATATATTAGATTGACCTTTGTGTTTTAATGATGCATTGAGTTTTTCCTCTGATGCATTTCAACAAAAATGTCAGATTGGTGCTTTATTCACCAGATTTTATTTGAATTAATAGGTATATGTAATAGTTCCTGTGAAAGATAGGGGTAGAGTAGATTTGCTTGTCTAGGCACTATTACCTCTACCCATTTCCTCATTTGGAGTAGATGTACATAGCTGCAAAGGTGCCACGTATAATGGAGTGCACACTGTGCTTATCTGTTTCTTTTTTGCTAGTCCGCGTGTGCTTCTGAAAAAGATTGAATGCATTATCAAATCGGTGCCACTATAACTTGCTAGACTGCATTTTGCGTTATACCAATAGTATGACAATCGCAGAAATGCCTTTTTCTTTCCAATGGCCTTGCTTATCATCTATCGCTGTATAGAGCCACGTTCCCAGTGAAGCAACAGAGTGGTGTAGTGCTGTTCAAGTACAATTAGTGTTTCTTTGTTTTCCTGTGTGCAAGCAAAATTGGCTCTGTTCACTTCATAGTGTACTATAATGTATTGTTCTTCCTTTAATTAAGTCTGCTTGTCTCTGAAACTCATGGTTCTCTAATGAAAGCAATAAAAAGCATGTGGGATCTGCCCATAGATAATTGCCTTTGTGTTATGACCTACTATATTTACTCTCCTCCTGTTCCATTTGAGTGTTTACTTTTTCGTTGACTGATTAACTTCTTTCTGTGTTTTTTTTTTGCAGTTTAAAAAGCCTTTACCATATACTGCGAATGGAAATTTGATTTTTTTTATTGATATGATCTTATAAAAATTTCACACATGCTATTGACACTTTGATATAGAAGCCACTTTCTTGTCTCAGTCTGTGGTCTTACTGTTTTGCCTATGCAGGAAGTGTAGCTTAATGTTTTCTCTGCCTTCATGAGTCACAAAGGTGAATAAGGGACTGTAGGCATGGCCAGAGGTTTGGTCAGTGAGTCATTCAAGGGGTTTCTTGCTGTTCGGGTTTCGGGAACAAATGGGTACAGTGTATAACACAGACAATCCAGGATGTGCATGATATGTACTCTATATATCCCATTTTCATCAAATTACAGGACTGTTATCTCGTGTTTTCATAAACTCACATTTTTCTGACTTTCTGTCCCTCAATTCTATAGAAGCATGTTAAAAAATCTATAGTACCAATAGTCTAAAATCATCATCATCTTACTGCAAACCCTCTTCTCTCAGTCCACACAATATACAGTAACGATGCACCCTGGTCTCCCAGCCCCTCCCCGTTTGTCACTATTAATGGAAAATAGTTTTTTTGGAAAAATAAACCTTAGAGATTTGTGTCTCTTATCAAAGACTTGAGTAAATAATTGGTTAAAAGTATTCATTCTATTCTATAAATGGGTTACTATACCTTTTGAGAAACTTACGTTTTAGAAACATCCCTAATACTCTTATAAGGGTTATGGGTGTTTTTGTCATGTGTGTTCACTGAAAACAATCACCCTCTGCCTGGTAATGTTGTAAACGTCATACTAGATGAGCTTGATAAGTTTATGGCCTGACATGCACTATGGCATGGGTGGATAGTGTTGCAGAAATGAGTGAACGTGTAGATGAACTGTTGGCTTTTACTCAATTTCTTTCTCAGCTGCTGTTACAATGCCCTAGGCCGACGTGTCAAAACATGTTGCATTAAATAATAAATAATAATCCTTACACTTACATTGTGCTTTTCCGGACATTGCACTTAAAGCATTTTACAGGCAATGGGGACTCCCCTTCACCCACACCTGGATGATGCGACAGCAGCCATAGTGCACCAGTACGCACACCACACACCAGCTCTCACTGGGGAGGAGAGCAGAGTGATGAGGCCAATTCATAGATGAGAATTATTAGGAGGCCATGATTGGTAATGGCCAGGGGGAAATTTGGCCAGGACACCAGGGTGACACCAATAGTCTTTTCAAGAAACAACCTAGGATTTTTTATGACCGTGGAGAGTAAGGACCTTGGTCTTGCGCCACCCTTCGGACAAGCCATCTTTTTTACAGTGTAGTGTCCGTGTCCCTGTACTGGGTCATTAGGACCCACACTGACTGTAGGAGGAGCGCCCCCTATTGGCCACACTAACACTTGTTCCCACAAAACCTCAGGAGGTCACCCATCTAGGTGCTCAGCCAGGCTCACAGCTGCTGAGCTTCAGTGGGCTGCCAGTTGTGAGGTGCAGGGTGATATAGCTGCTGGCATGTAGGTATTGAATCCAAAATGTTAATTTGTCTACACTGTAGGCTGAGATCACTTTTTTAATATAAAATATACAATTAATCTGTAAACACTACAGGGACTTTTTGTGCTATGAGGACGTTTTTGAGTTGAAAATGGGGGTCAGTTGTGTTGATGATTTGTTTTTTGTAAACTGATGATTAAGGTCCTGGCTTACTGACTCCATGTGCTCCTTTTCTTTCCAGAGACATCATGATCACTCATTTTGAGCCATCCATCTCTTACGAAGGGCTGTACAGTGAAGTCAGGGACATGTGCAGCTTTGACAATGATCAGCTCTTCACCATGAAATGGATTGATGAAGAAGGTATTTAATTAGCAGCTGTTGCTACATACAAATGGCTATTTTATTGAAATTCCAGTGTCCTATTTACGGTTTAAATTGTACTGTCCATATGTTATTGCAGCATCGAGAACAACATGATATACAGTATGTCTGTTTCTTTGAGTGTGTTTTGCTTGATTTTAATATTTAACATATACCGGACTGTAGACTTGTACACCTTTTTGAAAACTCAAATTAAACACATTTAAAGTGATTGTTTTACATTCATTGTATTTCAGTGTACCCACATCTTTTAATTATTTTCAAGATAAGGTTAGCACATTTGTAAGGGAATTGCACAATGCATTCTGTAATTTAATTTATAAAAGGAGCATGCTAGACAAATAACAAACTCACCTTTATCCAGAGCAGTTATGAATTATAAAGCGCAGGAACCATGCTGTCTTTACAGAAGTTTTTTTTTCTCAGAGCTTTAAACAGTTAACAACTGCTTAGCTCAGTTACACCCAATGTGCGAAAAATACAGCTCAGTTTAAATGGTAATCAAGAAATTGTAGGAGAAATGTCTTTGATTATCAGTTATTGTCTCTGCAGTGACCTGTTTTGCGGAAAACATACAAAGATTAAAAAAATAATTTGAAGCTGTAATAATCAATGAGAATGAATTGCTTGTCAGGTATTCTGGGAACGTATCTCCAGTACATTCATTTAAAATACATGGAGACTTTTGCTTAATTTTAGGCAATATTTATTGTTTCATACAGATTAAAAGTCCCCATTCCCTTTTATTATTTACAGGCAAATCATTGTGTCTTATATCAAAATGAGACACTTTAGCAATAATAGCTGTAGGCACTGAAATAGGTGGAATATAGTTCCTCTTTATCCTGGGGCAAATTTTCAGTAGTAGGTGGCGGTTTCAGAACCTCGTCACTGATTAATGACTTTAACACAGGAGGCAAAGTTCTACTCAAGAGCTCCTCGGTGGCTCAGTTTAGCAGAGCCGTCTTTAAAAAACACAGTGCTGGTCGAAAGTTTGCTTCTTTGAATGTGCCCGTGTCATCAACCAGTTGTGAACTTGATCCCCAGAGCAGTGGCTCGCATTTGGCCAATAGCTGCCAGATTCTGGTGCCGTTTGATTTGAACTAGGGCTGGCTATAATTGCTAGACAGTCGCTGGGAGACCATGTGAGCTGGAAAGTGTTATCAGTCCAAAGTTACCTCCGTCCTCCACCTGCCTGATGCCTTAGCTTTTGCTGTTCGCACTAAAGGCTCAGTCGGGGAAAAACAGCAGGAGACCTGAGAGAGGTTTAGGGGACAGCACTGGGAAAGCACTGGATAAAAAATAGGATTTGTGGGAGAGTTGCAAGGCGGAAACCATTACTCTCTTAGCAATCCTCTAACCATTGCCTTGCCAGAAAGCACCTGGGTGACCCCCCAGACATCTGGATGAATGTTCATTCTGGATGAATGAGCCCCCCAGACATGACAGATGTCGAAAGTGGAGCTTTTCAAGGGCTGCGCCGGTGCTGTTATGTCTGGCGAAAACAAAACACTGCATTCCACAATAAGAACTCGAAAATCTGCAATACTTTTTCACTGCATTGTACGGAAATGCTATATTTAGACTAAAACACAATGGGAACTGTTTTGTCTTTCCAGGTGACCCCTGCACAGTGTCATCTCAGCTGGAGTTGGAAGAAGCTTTACGTCTTTATGAATTAAACAAGGACTCTGAGTTGATCATTCATGGTAAATCATTGCTACAGATGATTGCTGCTTGCACAAAAATTCTTCTTTTTCATATATTTGTGTGGATATGTATTCTTACACAATATACATGACTGTAACCTAGACTGGCTTTATGTTCTCTTGCTCTGATCTTTCAGTCTGGCCCATCACTGGTGAAACTCTGCTTTATTCCTAATTGCTGTGTTTTTCTTGCACATTTAGTCTTCATCTCCTGCTGCTCTCCTTTAACCTCCCTCCTTCTGGGATTCTGTAATTCAGAAGTACAACTGTGAATTCTTTACATTATTTATGCAGCGTAGCTTTAAGTGAGTGTTTCATGAGTGTCTGTGGATCTCGTTCTTTAAAATCACCTAAGAGCTGTGGTCCTCTGGAACACTATGTTTTATAATTAGTTTAGGATTCTACCGAGAGCCCAGTAATCTTTACAACTAAGCTGTCACTGAATTCATTGCAGAAGCTTTCCTTATATTCACGAAATGAGAAAATGTTTCCAAGCCGAAGATGAACGCTAACAGCTTTGCAAAAAGCAAATCCTTTAGGCACAGATGTTTTGTGCCTACCTGATTATATAAAAAACTGATAGAAAAATTCTTCAGTTATTTTATTTGTAATCACAGAATGAAGGTAACGAAAGGTCGAAAGATAAAAAAAAATGGATGATAGTTTTGGATGAATCACTGATCATCAGAGGCATGCAGAGGGCGATGTTATACTAGAAATTGTGAACATTATCAGCCTCTGGTAGGATGTGTGGTCTGGGGGACAGAAAATGAGGAGGAAGGTGTTCTACAGCCCTAGCTGTAGCCTTCATTAATATTTTATTCCTTTGATTGTCTGATTTGACCCTGAGGTAAAGTCGGTGTGGTTGTCCTTCTCTGGCTGGCTCTTTTATTACCTTCAACGTATTAACTCCATCAAACGAGAATGTGTTGTACAAGAATACTATGATCACAAAAATCATTCTTTTATCATGAACCGACCTTAACTGTGAAGTGCACCCGCTCCCTCTCCCAGCCAGCAGTCAGAGTGAAGTAATAGCTACTCTAAAGATGCCTGAAACAAGTATTGCCCTGCAATAGATTAGCGTGTTTGACACTGTAGTTCTCCAGATTGATAGGATCAATTAAAGATTGTATCGGAAACTGATTTCCATTATTTCCTGTCTAGGCTTGAGCTGGAGATTGCCTAGACCAAGATCTGTTCAGATATAAAATGGCTGGTTTCCAATGTGCTCTATGCTGATTTAGTTAAACTGGCTGACTTCCAGTGTACTGTTTATTGGTTTACACAAAGTTCTTTGGAAACCAGTTTTCGGCCACAGTGTCCTTTGATACAGTTGCGCAAAAATAAAGGCACATTTGTAATTTTCCAAGCTAGGTAAAATTGTCAAGCACTATCACTGAGTCCAGTTACAAAAATACTTTCACACAGGGAAGATCTTCATTCTGCTCTTGCAGCATGTCTGATGGAGCACTGACTGTCCCTGGTATAAATATTACAGATATCTTTGCTGCCCATGTTGCCTTTATTTACAGTTGCAAAATGCCATCGAGGTTTGTTTGTACAGTAAAGCAGTATCATCTTTGTGATGGGACTGCTGATAGAGGGGAGCAGGATGGAGAAGAAGAGAAGAGAGACATGTACAAAAAGAGACCCATGCCAGAGCATTAATTAGAAGGAGGCAGGCAATCCCAGTCATGGATGTCACCCACACGAGAAGGATCTGTGTAAGCTGTTTGACCTCTGTGACCTCAGAAAAAAAGGTCCTTAGTCAGGAAAGGAATCGGACTTTTTAAAAGCCGTGCTTTAACGGGAATAAGAAAAAAAAATCGGTATCAAGAAGAAGTAATAAGGTATTTTAAAAACGTAGCTTAGTTTGTGAATGACTAAAGAGGTTTTACACAATATATTTTTAAAACCATTAGATCGATGTGTGCGTATCTTGAGAATCCACAGGTGTCTTTTTGAAAAGGTATTTTGTGCATGTTTTACTAACAATGTGTATAATTGAAGTCTTAATTTAAAAGAAGTGAAATTGTGAGAGGCAGTGGTCATGTCTACCTGAAATATACCCCCTTAACTCTTACTTCACTTTATTTTTTTCTTCCTTTTTAGTGTTTCCATCTGTTCCTGAAAAGCCTGGTATGCCCTGTGCAGGAGAAGACAGTGAGTACATCTCTTGTGTCTCTTGTTTTTATTTGTCTCGACTGCCCACGTCCAGTTGAAACCTTCATGCTTGTGACTGCATTGGACAGTTTCAGGTTAAATACGAACTGTTAATAACCCATATTCACAATGCAAACTAATTTGAAATAATTTGTGCCAAAATGTTATGCTTCAAATAGTTTATTTTCTCTTTTATTCACTCATTTTTATGTATATTACTGTGGTTTTTGCTTGAAAGTACACATTAATTTGTGTTGGTTTAGGATTAACCATGAAAATGAATTTGCTTATTGATGATGTAGGGAGTATAATGAGTCGGTTGAGAAATTAAAATGTGTCAGATCTTTGCTGAGAACCTTTGTTAGGTTTTCACTGCAACAACACAAAAAGCGGGAGTTGTTACTAAGGTGAGTATTTATGTCTGACACAGCACTGCTAGTGTATCTGGAACTGGTTCTTCCAGAGCACACTACCAAACTCTTGAGCCTTGACTGTCTATTAAAAATGTAACGTTCAGTGCATCTACCTAGCACGCCAATGTGTGTGCTGCACTAATAGGTATAGGAGACTCATCTGCATTGGCTTTTTGGAGGCGGTCTCGCAGAAGGAATACCTCGCAAAGTGTTTTTTGTTTCATTCTGTCTAAGCAAGTGCTTTCGAGCGCATCCATCTTCGATTTGGCGGAGATCAAAACAAAATGGAGTTTTTGCAGTCCACGCACAGTATTTAGCCTCTTAGCTTAGTCTGTGTTCCACATTAATGGTTTGGCTTTGCCTGGAGGCAAATTGGGCAACCTTTTTCCTTTTTTAAGACAATAACATAATAGGCCCCACAAGCAGTTTTTCTTTGCAGAGAGGGTTTAATGAGGCAGAGCAGGTAGTACATGAGGAAATTGAGTTGGCCAGAATGTAACCAACCATTTTCTCCTGACAGAATCCATATACCGCAGGGGAGCGCGGCGCTGGAGGAAACTGTACTGTGCGAATGGACACACCTTCCAAGCCAAGAGATTCAACAGGGTGATTACGTTTTAGTTGCTATCTGTCCTCTTAAAGTTGTTTGCAAAGGAGAATTTTCTTTCACAAACTTGTTTTGGTTCTTCCTTACTATATTGTCACACTGCCATTGTTTTTTCTCAGTTGTCATTTACCATGCAATGCGGCATATAGTAGGGACATTTCAATTGTTTCTTCCTTCTTGTGTTTTTTTACCAGCATAGTGCTGTCGGTTAGATACAGTAAATACAGTAAAGTATTTTCTGTAAGATGCAAAGTACAGAAAGTTTGCGGTTTTGTAAGTTAACAGCCAAACAGCATCCATTTGGTATATTACTCCTACTTAGAATCTAGGTTCTAATTTTTATACCTGGTGCTTTGGTAAACATACTACAAATCATTATCTTAATTATTGATTTCATATTGCTATTATATACTGTATGTATAACGTTACCCGATTCATTTTTTCCTTTACTGCTTTTGTCCTAATCACTGGGGCTGTGTTAGTGATTTTTCTTCTTGCCTGGTGTTTAGCGAGCAAATTGTGCTATTTGTACCGATCGGATCTGGGGACTGGGTCGGCAGGGGTGCAAGTGCCTGAACTGCAAGCTGCTAGTCCACAAGAAGTGTCACAAGCTGGTCACCGTTGAGTGTGGGAGACAGGTGATACAGGTGAGGAGGGAAGCCTTCCCAAGTGTCCTCTCAGTCCACGGGGAATTCAAAGTTGCATTCGGGGGCAGGGGGAGGGGGTGACTTCAGAAGGCTCTGAGGATTCTGAGGAGTGTCCAAAAGAGGATCGTTCCCCTGTTGTTTGTTTGTAAATAAATGCCCTATATTTCTTGAAGCTTTTTTAACAACCATATCACAAATAGAAAAAGGGACTGAGAACTCACATTATTAAAATACCACCAATAAATCTACACTTCCCAGTAGATCAATTCAGTTACTGATATATATATATACAAGAAATTGCCAATGTTAACTCAAGTAGCCTGTTCTGTTTCTGAAGCACTGACTCTCAACTGTTCTTTTTCTAGGAGCCTGTGGTGCCTATTGGTCCAGCATCTACAACACTGGATCGTTTGGAGCCAGGTAGAAACCACTTAAACTGCAATTGATTTAACTTAGTTTCAGCAGTTTAACTATCATTTATAAAGTATTTTTTAATATAGTTTATTAATTTTATTACACTTTGCTTGCAAATGAATGGCATTCTCTACTCAATAACTACATCCCACCAGAAAAGGCAGCTCTTAACTAGTTGATTTGTTCCCTTCAGAACGTTTGTCCTAGAGTTACTACAGATATACTGTCTCCATGGGGTCTGTGGGTTCATGTCTAGTCCATGGGATGAGAATATTTAGAGATTTTTTTCTGGCACTTTAAAATGGGATCATTCAGGTCAAAGAGTTGAAAAGGAAATGCATCCTGCATTTTGACTTAGGTCTTTTTGGCATGTGAAGGATATTTAGCTATGGCAGCCTCTAAGACCCACATTTCTAGCACCTAGGTCTGATAGAAAGTTAGTGTTTAGTTGACCTGATAAACATGCTAAGTTCTTCCTTAATAATTGCCTATAGATAATTTAATAGTACACATCCGGTTCCTCAGTGGTCATTGATTGTTATCTGGTCGCTTCTAACAGCCAAGGCCACTTCATAGGATTTTATTCACAGTCACAGATCCTGCAGTGTGCAGAAATGCCACAGCTGAGTCAAAGATCATATCTCTCTAGGAGCACAACATGTATTCAGCTAAACTGAACCACAACAAGGTGTGAACCCAGGACAATAAAGCTGAACACTTAATGGGACCTGCTAAGGATTTTGTTTTTGTGGGAGGTGTTAAGGCAGATCGAGTAGTACAAAGTTTATTGGTCTGCATTGAAGGTGGCAGTGACACAGGGGCTAAGACCCCTCCACACAGGTTGTCTGTAGCAAATAACATGGAAGATGCTGTCTGTGTAAATGTGTCATTTGTGAATTATTCGGTAAACTGCAACAGCATTAAGCATCATGACTCACAAAGTGCATTATCGGCCTGTATTCTGTTGAATTTGATTCTTGTGAATTCACAGTTATTCCATACAAAGCATCAAGTCATGAAAATCTGAATCATGTTGGGGAGGAAAAAGAGGTAAGTTTTCCTTTTGCGGTGTTTGTATAGTTAATTGTCAGAGAGACCTCAGCTGTCTGTGCTGAGACAGTGCTGTATGAAGCAGGCCAAGATAGCTTTTGTAATAGACAGCTGCTTAACACAGTGTTAATATTAAACAAATTTATTTGTATGATTGTTTTCTTACAGGTTTCACAGGTTTTATCATATTATTAGGACAGTGTGAAAATTAATAATTAAAATTAAAACTCTGAGGGTATAAAAATATGTTACTGCAATCCCAATGTCTTTTACCACATTTCTGACATCTTATGTTTGTTTCCTAATAAATTCCTCCACTTCACGTGTTTGTCTCAAATAGCACAGTTTGTCAGTGAATACCACGAAGAGATAAAATGTCAGAAAGAGCAAGCTTAATGCTCAGTGATACATTAAAATAGATGAGAAATGTCTTGTTGTCTTTTCTGGAGCCTAAATGAGGTCCTTTGCCATTCTGCTTGTCACTTGAAAACCTGCTTTCAAACCTAAATCCTCGACAATCTCGTAACAAAAGCCAGGGAAATGTCAGGGAAATTAAAACAGTAGGTCAAGCTTTCCTCTAATAATGCTGGAGACAGTCCTTGCACTTTGAAAGCTTCAGGGGTAAAAAATGAAAAGATATGCCTTGTGCTATTGATTTCCGTTAAAGAAGCTAATAACATAACATTTGCATCACTCTTAACACCACTGAGCGATTAACTGGCTAGTCTGAACATCCATGGCATGATGCATCATGGATCCACAGAGGGACGGCGCCCTGTAGCTAGATGCAGCGTGGATTAAGTTAGAGCTTAGTTGCATCCTTGATGCATTTTGGGGGTGGGGGGGATGGGTATGAAGAGATATGTTATTTCTACTGTCTTGTGCCTGATTTCTGGTTCATCCCCTTCACAGGCCATGAACAGCAGAGAGAGTGGAAAGGCTCCTACCAGTTTAGGGCTGGCGGACTTCGATTTGATCCGTGTCATTGGGCGAGGTAGCTACGCCAAGGTGCTGCTGGTTCGGCTGAAGAAGACGGAGCGTATCTATGCAATGAAAGTGGTGAAAAAGGAGCTTGTGAACGACGACGAGGTGAAAAGTTGCCCCTGTCCGTCGGAATTGTCCACATGGGTGTCGTCCTTTCCAAAATGAAATCTCCGAATTTACCTCATTTTTGTATTTGTTTTTTTCTTAAATCCTGAATTCCTAAACCAGTTTGTGGCACGCGCTACTGTTACTGAATAGGGAACTCTCCCTTCATTCGCTGTCAGTGTGCTGCGGTGGTTGCCCTCTCGCAGGCTTAAAGAACAGGCCAATCTTCATGTCCTTCAAACTCTCGAGCTTCTCTCACGACTGTGATTTTTACCACCACCTGGGACTTGAACATTGTATGCCAAGAACAAGGCTGATCATCTTGTCAGGGAATTTTTTAGTTGAATCCACTGGTACAGGGATCTCTCGTGTCCTGTTTCTGGTAAAATCCACTGCACCTGTCTTTTTATTCATTCATTTGTGGTGATACACAGGTTATCCTTCTGAACTGTCGCCTTTCACTTTGCAGTACTTGTTTTTCAAAGCAGGTTTTTTTCTGTGTGATTCATGTTATTTGCTCTTGGCTTTCAGGATATTGACTGGGTTCAGACAGAGAAACACGTGTTTGAGCAAGCGTCAAACCACCCCTTTCTTGTGGGGCTGCACTCATGTTTCCAAACAGAGAGCAGGTAAGCTGTTACAGGAGTTGTTTCATTCTGTACAACTGACAGCTTTTTACCTCTTCTCATACATATTAATCACTTTTCAGGACTACTGATCTTTGCTCTGCTCCTGTGTTTGTCAGGAGCAGTGTGCTACACTCAAAAGGGTTTTGAAAAAGAGAGCAGCCTTACAACTATAGGAATGCTGTTCAAAAATACAAAATGGAATTCATCAGGAGATGTTAATTATAGCTCTTAGACACGGAAGCGAATTAGTATTGAGACTGCAGAATAAATTGTGTGTAATATCGTAATTAGTATATGATTCCATGTTTTAGAGTATTTACAAAGCTTTTTATAATTGACAGTATATGCCAGTGTTTAAAAAATGTGGCACAGCATACAGGACTCTTTCTGTTTTTAATAATGATTAAACGTTCCTTTACTAGTGCACCTTCATTCATTTTTTCTTTAAATAATTAATATATATATATTAGTGATTTTGATACTTAATAACCCATTACCATTTTGAAATGCTGTACATTCTCAAGCCACTCATTTCAGATATATGATCAAACATTGGGCTGTATTTTCTTCTCAACTTTTGTTACAGTTTGAACTTGTGAACCCTTAAATGATGCTAATAAGCTTTTCACTAGTAATGTGATGAATGTGTGGTTTCACTTCTCTGTGAAATGTACTGTAACTACATCCTACTGAGGTAAGTGCTGTGACAAGGCAAATGTCATAGCAAAAATGTAATGACAATGCCAGTAATTTAGCACATCTCTTGATGTTTCTCATCCTCAGCCAGGGGTCAGTGCAATTCTAAATTGGTGTTTAGGGTTGCACTCCTCTTTATCACAGCCTTAAAATGTCTGCTCCTTTATCATGTGTCGGTCAAATAAAAAAATGACAGCCAAGAAAAAATAATTAACTTAAGAAATACAGAGGATGGCAGTGCTGCAGTACAAAATGCAGTGGTTAGCATTTCTGCCTCACAGTGCTGGGGCCCTGGGTTCAGTTTTAGACCTGGGGTGCTATCTGTGTGAAGTTTGTATGTTCTCCCTGTGTTTACACGGGTTTCCTCCGTGTTTCCAAGATTCAGGATTCTAGATTTCTTTATTTGCCATTTAGAACAAGTGTATTGTAATGCTTACTTGTTCGGCTGTACCCAGTAACATTAGAGAGACACAAAAATAGGCACAAATGACAAACAGACATGGACAATAAATTTAGCAATAGACGTACGTTATAATACAGCCAAGAGAAGTCAAACAGTGCAGTACCTTAAAGTGCAGGTGCTAATATGTGCAGGTTCCTCCCACAGGTCAAAGATTATAATGGTAGGTTAATTGACTTCAGGGAAAATTGGCCTGGTGTGAGTGTGTGTTTTGTGTCTGTGTGCCCTGCGATGGACTGACGTGCCGTCTAGGGTGTATCCTGCCTTGTGTTTGCTGGGATAGGCTCCAGCTCCCCTGCAACCTGAGATTAGATAAGGCAGTGAGGAAATGAATGGATGGAAGAATTTCTAAGCATTTCTTTCAGATGTTCCTGTGCTCCAAAATGGACAAATTTGGGATCCTGTAAGCTTTTTGTTTTGGATCATGTTGTGTGTCTGAATTACGTTTCTTTACAAAATGAATTTTTCTCACCTAGGCTCTTCTTTGTGATTGAGTATGTGAATGGAGGAGACCTCATGTTTCACATGCAGCGACAGAGAAAACTTCCTGAAGAGCACGCCAGGTAAAACTGTAACTTCATTGTTAGACATTCTTCATTCTTTAACAATGTTTAGTACTTGTAACTGCCTAAAATCTTATATCTGGGGAAAACAAATTAACCAACCCAGTACAGATGGAACATAAAAATATAATTTTCAGGAACTCTGCTCTTAAACAGGCTCATCATATTTGGTTTGGAAGCAATTTCTAATGTTAGTCTGCTGTTTGTATACTTTATTATACTGGGTTGGAATGAGGTCAGTTTCTCTTGATTTATTGTGACGTTTTGCCTCCCCCACCCATTAGGAATACATAACTGTGATATTTGAGCAACTAATGGAACTGTGCTGTTTTATTTTACCTTCTTAGGTTTTACTCTGCAGAAATCAGCTTGGCTTTAAACTACCTTCATGAGCGAGGCATCATATACAGGGACCTCAAACTGGACAATGTGTTACTGGAATCAGAAGGACACATTAAACTGACAGATTATGGCATGTGTAAGGTGTGTGAGCAATATTTAGGACAACAATCCTGTCTTTCCTTTCTTTCTATCAGCCTTGTTAAGTGCGTTACCTTCAAGTGTTGATTCTCATATTATGGCAATATTTACCTTGTCTGAACTAGCTAGACCTCTCAATTAAGGTATGGGACTGTATAAAGCTGTATCTTTATTTTGGTTTCCTCTGTTATGAAGCCACTATTGTGGTGGTGCAGGAAGAATTTAAGTGATCTGTAAGAAATGAAAGGTCTGTGAAAACCTCAGTATAGACTTCTCAGGGTCTGTGTGAAGAACAAATTTGACTAAATTCATACTTTTAAGTGCGTTTTAACCTGCAGTTAAAAAAATAAATTACAGGAGTAGTGTGAGCCTGATAAGGCTCAGTGTTCTGGGTATATACTTAAATTGCTAAGTGTGGACTGTGGAGAGCTGTGCTGATTGAGACTTTTTTTGTCACAGGAAGGGTTGCGTCCTGGAGACACAACTAGCACATTCTGCGGCACTCCTAATTATATCGCCCCCGAGATCCTGCGAGGAGAGGATTATGGTAACCACTTTATGTCTAACCTCCAAAAAAAGACCGAAACAAACATCTTGCTCCTTAATGTGTACCGATGTAGAGTGCTTGAAATATTTTGACACTTCCTTCAGTTGTGACTTTTGAAAAAAGAAAACCATGTAAATTTGTTAAAGGATTGCATTTTGTATTTGTGAGTTTTATCTAGGTGTAAATCCACAGAAAAAACAGAACAGCATTGTATTAATTGCATACAATGCGTGTGTATGTATCGCTTTGGTATCGCTTTGGTTTCAGACTTGCCTGTAATGGTTTTTATCCTGTGGTGTAGGGTTCAGTGTGGACTGGTGGGCCTTGGGGGTCCTCATGTTTGAGATGATGGCAGGAAGATCACCATTCGACATCGTTGGCAGCTCAGACAATCCCGATCAGAACACAGAGGACTACCTCTTCCAAGGTATATGGGCGTAGTGGTGATGGGATTTAAACTTTCGCAGTTAAATGTTAAATGCCCACCACTAAGAATGAAGTATTCTGTTAAAAAACAGTGTCATTGATACATCAGTAGAGTTCAACAATTCCATTTTTCCTGGGAATAATTGTTAAATTCAGACACTTTTATTTTTTGCTGCTTCAGTGCAAAACAAATAAGCAACACGAGTTGTTGAGAAGCCTGTTTTAATCAATCCGTTTGATTTGATCTGTTTTTTTTAGTAATATTGGAAAAACAAATAAGAATCCCAAGATCCCTGTCTGTCAAAGCCGCTAGCGTCCTGAAGGGATTCCTAAACAAGGTATGAATTCAATCCATGGGAATATAGGAGTTTTCAGACTTTGATCTGATACTGGTGTAAACACAGACGCTCTCTGTCGTCAATTCTGTAGGACCCTAAAGAACGCCTGGGCTGCCACCCTCAGACGGGCTTTGCTGATATCATGGGTCATCCTTTCTTCCGAAACGTGGACTGGGATCTTGTGAGTAGTTTTTGACTTTTTTGTCAAATATTTTTGTCTTCTGAGAAGGCCCAACAGCTGGAACATTTTTTCTTTCTACTTTGTGGTGTGGAATTTACCTCTGCTTACCCTTTGAGACACATTGTTGCCTTGTTAGGTGACATCTGAGTGAAGACGTTGTTTGTACCAGAGAGAAGAACCTTGACTCTTTTCTGCTTTCTCACTTTCCTTTCGAAATTCATCAACGTGCCTATAGATGGAGCTCTGCTTGCCAGATGTCTGCACTCACTGCTGAGCTGATGCAACTGCGGCTTTTTTTTTCCAAAGCTTCTATGAAACACTGCTTTGGTTTGGTTTTTCATAAGTATCCAAGCAAAGGTGTAGACGACAGTTTAAATTTTGAAATGAATTGTAATGAAGGGCACAATTGAGAAATAGTTTTCCCCTCCTGATCTGCACATTTCTAAATGGTCAGTTTTGCTGATTATGATTTGTCCTTGATAATTCTGTTCCAGATGGAGCAGAAACAAGTGGTCCCACCCTTCAAACCCAACATTTCTGGGGAGTATGGACTGGATAACTTTGATGCGCAGTTTACCAATGAGCCTATTCAACTTACGCCAGATGACGAGTAAGTATCTGTGATGACTTTTCACGGCATCTCTTTAAAATGGAAGCATCTGATCCACAGATAATGTTGAAGCGTTCAAGTTTTTAATGCTTTAATATAGTGCTTAACTTTGGTTTTAAATAAATCTGCTCTTCCTGACAGGAATTTACCTTGTAATTTTTCTGTTTAGAAAATTTAAATGACAATTAAATGATTTTGTTTCTATATTTAATGTGCAGTTCAGAATATACTACTGCTCACTGTTGGTAATCGAAATTTTTCTGTTTGTTTTTTTTCTCAGTGATGCTGTGAAAAAGATCGACCAGTCAGAATTTGAGGGCTTTGAATACATCAACCCTCTTTTGATGTCAGCCGAGGAGTGTGTCTGAATGGAAGACAGTATTCCTTAAGTCATTGCTGTTGCCTTTTAAAACTCTGCATGGTTAAACATCGTACCGTTTGGAAGCTGTCATTCTTTTAAATGCGTCTTAAAGGTTGTCACAAGCTGCTACTGGCAAGCTGATCTCATACTCAGCCATTTATAACCACTACACCTTAAGTGTATTATTTTTTATCATGTAACCTATATGCACTGACACCCTGACTCATTAATATAGACAAAGCATCTTATAACAAACATCTCGGCAACCAATGAGAATTTGTACCTATATGCCCAAGCTATAGAATTAAGGAAAATGTAATGAACTAGGAGATGTCTCTTCTATAATGTCTGTGTTTAATACAGGGTTCACTCTGCCCAAATTGTACGTCACAAAAACAGTTGTAGAAGTTTGGTAGTTCAGAGGAATGGACTCTTACTGAATTTTCACTTGAAATGTATATCAGACATAAGGAAGGAACTGGAAACATGCACGTTAAAGGTAGCTAGCTGTAATGTTTAGACACACCAGTTTTCATTGGCACCCAGCTCTAACCCATACAAAATTTTGACTAAAAGCAAAAACACTACAGTGAGCCCAAATGGCATGCCTTTTTTTTGTGGTAGAATCGGTCGTTTTAGTTAAGATGGACTGTGTTGTGGAGACGGGGGATAACAAAATCCGCCACATTGAATGAAGGTACCTTCTAGTCATGTAACTATTCACATACGTGTCGGCAAACTGTGAAAGCTGCGAGTGACAGCTGACTCTGGATTAGAATGATATTGCAGATTTACAGAACATCTGCATCCATATGGGACCAAAAATATTTTTTGACATTACAAAATTAAATTACTCGTTACTTCGCACTAGTCTGGCTGCTTTGTCAAGTAGAAAATTGTACAGCCCCAAGGGAAAGACTTCAATTTCAAAGCCTCGTTTTTATCGCATTTTTAAAGTAATTATTACCTTTCGGATGCCAATAGACTTTTTCACTATATGTATTATTTTTCTATTATTACTTGGCAATAAGACAATTACTGTAAGGAAGGGGCTAATATTTTTTCTTTTTTTCTGTAAGCTGAAGGTGGAATTTGTTTTTTGTCTCTTTCCTCTGGTTCTGAAGAACCAGCCTTTCATCTGACTAGTAAGATAAGTTATCGGAATCAACTTAAGAGGGTTCCCAAATCCTGCTAGATGACAAGAATATCACACACATCTTATTAGTAGGAGTTTGTAGGGAGCAAGTTTAAACAAACAGCCTCCAGTCTTCCTTTGACTGCAGGAGAACCTGTCTTTCCCTATGAGTTTCAGAGCAACATGTCTGAAACAATTGGTTCAGTATACATAAATAAACAAAAGAAAGGTGAACCTGCGTTTATTTTTTTTCTTATCAGATGTACATCCTCGGACACAATGTAAAATCAAACTGGAGCTATATCAGTGTATTACTGTTTAGAAGCTTAATGTCAAAATTACATGGTTACATAACTGTTACAGAAAAAGGTCTTCATCTCTATCTTTTTGTGTCCTTTTGGTTCCATTTCTGTGATAAAGGTACTTCAGCCACAGAAGCAGGTCCCTTCTGCAGGAACCTTTAAAGTATTTAAAAGCCCAAACTACCGCACATCTTTAAACACTCAAGTGCTGTTGTTCTCACCACTGTTGTCTTGTGTATGATGAATAGGACCTATCAAGGAAAAGAGGAAGTGTGTATGATTGCTCGAGACCACTGGACTGCAAGGACCACTCTTATAGTGTGAAAAGCATTAGCCAGTGAATTCTTATTAATAATTTAAAGTGATGTTTATAAAAAAAACAATAGGCTATAGGAAGGCTGTTTCTCTTTTGTGTGTCTTTCCAGGGAACTGTTATTGAACATTTTTTGTAATCTTTATTTCTCCTTTTACATGATCAAATGTTAGGGACACAGTGGCAGGAGAAATAAAACGTAAGGTATTTTTTCTACACTTTTTCTATTGAGTTTTTTTTGTTATTGTTTACAAGCTGTTACATATTCTATAACACTACATTGTTTAAATGACTTTATTTAGTATTTTGTATGGGTTGAAGAGTTTGATAAACTTTTTGCAGAGAAAATAGAGTGGAATTCGTAATATCAAGTGACAGATCTGTATTAATCGTGACATGTGGAGACCACTTTAACGCTGAAGAAATGAAGATGGGAGGTTAAAGAGTGCCCAAATAAAATACTGTGTTCGTTTACGGTTTTAAAGACTGTACTGCTTAAGATAATTTTATTTTTTCAGTTTTTTACCTTCACACAGATCTTTTACCGTTTGCTGTACTGTAGCCTTCACAAAAACTATGGGATTTTTTTTGGCAGCTGTCTTTGTTTTCTGATACCAGTAAAATTATAGGACGTGGTCCTGTTTTAGCAAGTGATACAGACGTAGCTGGAAAGCGACAGTCTGGAGCTGTTCCTCTGAACTGAGGAAACCGAATCTGAGGCCCAGCAGCTGCATGTCTCCTGTCTTTGTGGAAGGAGGCAGCAGTCGCTCAGTAGTTTGGAAAGAGAGGTGAAAAAGAAGCTAATGATCACCATAAAGAAAAGGAAAAAAAAAAGAGTACTTGAAGCAATATAGTCTTCAGCATGTGGAAACCCAAAGTTGGAGAGTAAGGTGAAATACCGCAATGATATGCTGTAATTAAACAATATTAATTAAATGAAAAAGTACATTATACAAAAGCAATGTATCTGTTTTTTTTTTATCAAAGTGAAAATGAATAACAGATATTTGTATGTCCTCCAGGAAACTGGTAGAAAGACAGGTAATGGGGAAAGTGGGCATCTCCGTAGAAACCAAAACCGCAATGGCCATGGCTTATGATGATCTGAGTAATAAATTAATGCATCAATATGTTTTTGTATGTCTGTAAATTAGGCTGTGGAAATGGTGCTGTACAATATCATCAATGCCAAATACATTTTTTTTGCTTCCTTAAAAGCATCAAGTTTGTTTTGTTTTTTTGGCCTCTGTGCCATTTTAAATTGAAAACACTTGTTAAGGGGTGAATTGTAAGTATTCAACGCAGGAGGCATCTTTGCTGTTTGATCTATTCAAAATAGTGTTAAAGAATGAAGAAAGTCTAGTTTGCACATTTATGTTGCTGCTGTATAAGACTAAGTACCAAGGCTTTATCTTTTACCACTATACCTCTTTCATTCTCATTGACATGCCCTGAATTCTAAATCATTAAGGTGAGGAAACAAAATACTTTTCAAGTCACCTTCCCTGCATGATAACAAGTTCTGATTTTTTCCCCATGAGTATATCTCACAGTGATTTCCAGTGCCTTTTTTCATTATACCTTTGCATTTTTAATAGCAATGTTCTTGTGAAATAAGTGTGATATACTGTACATCACTATGTTAAGAACAAAATTGAACCACTACAATATTCTGTATTTAAAAAAAGGCAGTTCTGAATTTAGAACTTCAAGGGAGCTATCTCATACCCTGGAGAGCTGTGGCAGATAATTGACAAATTGGGGGTTTCTACTGTTATTCAAAGTAGCGGTAGATATGAAGTTAGATGGTGATGGATTCTCAGGACCTGTAACATAGGCCATTCCAGCCGCAGAGCCAGAACGGCACAGGTAAAATGTCAGATTACCCCCAGATAACAAATTAACAAATATCCTTACTTCCACAATTCTGCACTTCATGTTTATCAGCAGTCTCATGACAAAGGTGCTCAGAGGCTGGATGGGCAGAGCTCTTTAATGAGCCACAGCAGTTAACACAGGTTGGATCAAGTATAATTCAGACATTGAACATTTGGGTGATGAGGGGCAGATGGAAAACCGACCTTTCCTGTGACCCATCTAGCAAATGTCTCTGACTCCTCACAAAACAATCACCAGCCACAAAACCTGTATAACCTTGAGGGTCTGTGTTAATGATCTGAAGGGCAGAAGATCTGAACACACTCACTCTTTAATTGCAGAAGTCTATCTGGAGGTGGTACCCTTAGAGGATTAATTAAGCATTCAAACAAACTCGCGTCTTCCTGGTGAAAATCCATTGCATGCCAAGGAGTATGGATGGGGTAAAACATTGATTTACTATGCATATTAATTACAGTTCAGTAAGGTTTCCAACATTTTTTATTATGTATTCTCAATCCGTGGTTAAAGCTTTGTCATTTTTAAAAATGTTACCATTATTTGCTTCCATTTATATTGCATAAAAGCTCGATTTGGCAACAGTATTATTCATAATTTATTTGTAACGTTCCTACATGGACACGTACTACTTCATCTTCAAGTGACAGTACAGTAGGTTACTACCTTGAAAACTGTTCTTGTAAGAAAGAAACACGATTTGAATACAAAATATTTAAAAATAAAATAAAAGGCCAGTTTTTGTTATTTTAAACCCACTTTGCCATTACCAATTTTCATTACCATCTTTTCAAATATACACAATTTATGTTTGCTATCCCATAACATGTATATACGACACTTGATAAAAGTCACTTTTTGAGGGTGCAATTAGAGTCTCGGAGGAGCTAATGGCAATAAAATTAAAATCACCGACTAATAATTTGCAGTGACCAGCCTGAACTAAGATTTATTTTGATAAAGAAAACTGCTTGTATTTTTTTCTTCCCTTTAACACAAACGTTTCGGGATAGTACATTGTCATTAACAATTTCCTTTTTAATAGAAGACAGGAAGTTCTTCGGCGCCAGGATTTAAAACGGGGATTCCCAAAATCCGTTGAGTATAACGAAATCCATGACGCGGTTTTTACACTTGACAGAATTAAATTTTGGAGTCGCATACCCGTAAGTTGGTCTTGTTAAGTAAATCGCTGTATGACACGGTTTTTAAATATTTAAACCAGAACATTCATGCTGTTTAAGTCAGTTTTATATTTAAAACTCCTGCCCAAGCCACCAAACCGTGAATCACTATTGCTGGAAGCAAACTCAACATTCCTTAATTTTGTCCTTCACACAGCACATAGTAACACTGCCCATAGCAAGGTTGTGAGTCACAAAGATTTAAAGTTTTTCAGACTGAGTAATTTGAAAATCTAGATCTGTATAGAGGAGAGGCCAGGGTCACATAGAAGCGAATAGCTAAGTATTATGAATCATTTTTCTTAGGAATAGTTAATGGTAAACAATATCGTCGCTTGCAGACGATAAAATATTTGTCAGACAACAGCGACAAATTTTTGTGCGCATGTTCCCAGGCCTTTGAGGCAAAAATCTAATATTTCATAAACAATTATTTTATTTTCGCACCACAAAGGTATTACGCTGTATACCCAGTCGTGAACCTTGTGGAATGATTTATTCTGCAACCGTGCTTGATCAATTACGGTAAGTACTAGCTATTCGAAAAGACAATTCATTCGAATAAAAAAAAGATCTGTGTTGATTTCTGGTGAGTAAAACAGACATTTTCCAGTATCTCTGAATTGTAACGAGTCCATAATACTGTTGCTCCCACTATTTTATGTACAGTGTATATTCTAACAGGGCCCCCTTGAAAAGGACATGGTGCAACTCAAGGGGTTTTATCCTGTCAATAAACTTTGATTTTATAGTGGAGATGAAGTAAGCTCTCAAACACAACTGTTTTTTTTATGTTTAGCTAATGCACAACACGTATGTTTCATTAGACATTTTTACATATCTATGTGTTCTGAACACTTCTTCACAGTTTCCCATTTTCCTTTCAAACGTTGTTTCTGCCTGCCTTTTCTTGAACAGTCAAAGCCTTATTTGTATCAAGGTTCCGTGAGAACAGAAGTCGGACATAAATTAAAATTATACATTTGCGTTTTTTCATCGGTGAAGACAAGAAGCTTTCTCAAGCAAAAAATTGCCATCACCTACTGGGAATTTATTTTTTACATCTGGTTGGTGGATACAGTACACCCTTAGATTTGACCCTGCTCACATTCTGAAAAAGAATTGTGTGGATGAGACACGGGTGTATTATCAGCGTTGAATTGACTTTTTTGTTTATTTTTTTTCTAATTACTAGGAATATGTAAATTCACATTAACATTCACGAACCTCTGGTTTTGGTCTTTTCTCGGTTAAACTCTTCACCGATGCACACACCAAAAACGCCTTGCCATTTCATCTGCCAAAGTAAATAATATAATGTTAATATTCTAACAAGACTCAATTCACTGAGCACTGACCTTGACAGAGGGAAATGTAATATCCCTTAATTGTCTAGGCACCAGATGAGATCTGACACAGTCCATGAATAATAAATCGTTGCAAATATGCACTAATGCTTCCTGCTATGAGTTCATATCGTAAATATGTATGTATATTGAAAGTAACTTAGTGTGTATTAAGTCCGTTCTAAGAAGGATGTCATCAGAAGCAGTGAAAATAAAACTATCACCTGATGTAATGAAATATGTTGTACATGTTTTATTCTTCAGACACTTCAGACATCTCTCGTAATGTAATGCGCTGTGTCCGGCTCTTTAGCTGGAAGCGTTATATTTTGCCTGAAATGGCAAGAGGAGTAGTGTTTTTTACCGTTTTATTTCCTGGAAACAGGCAATCTCTTGACATCTAAAGCAGAAAGTTACACGAATACTACATATCTGTCACCACAGTGAACTGTTCCGTGTCTGGAGTTTCCGTGGGAACAGAGTAGGCTGCAGTTAAACACACATTTGACCAGATTTAGATTTAAGTAAGCCTTAAGTAAGGCTTTTAGTTTTGTTCCGAGAATTTTTTTTCATGTCAGAAAAACAGAACTCTTTTGTCGTTTACAATTTTAGATCAATATGCCGATAAACTGAAATTGTTGATTATTACAATAGTACTATCACGTAATATACATTATAAACCTTGAGATTTAAATGTCTCCTTGACAATAATTTAATACGTATTTCTACAGTGCTTTTAATCGCCCTGCTCTACAATGGTAAACTGACCGTGTATGGAAGGACGATTACAGTCAAATTATGCATAAAGATATATATATATAGTTCATCATTAAACAGTTTACACTGAGACAATCGGTACGGGTTGAAAGACAATTAAATGCAGATATTCATATAATTGAGACAAAGGAAATAAAATACGAAAAAGAAAGAAAAAAATCAAAGAAACGGGACTTCAATGGAGATTTGTCTGTGTGAGAAGGGGAGTTAGCGTTTCCTGAGACTTTTCTGTCGAGAACATTTTCTTCTTTCCGTTTCAAGTAACGCGTTTGTCGTAGCAACCGAAACGGCACCATCGCCTCAGGCGTCAACGGAGTTACAGGCGGCTGGTGGTGACATCGCAGGCTGGGCCGTGTGCCCGACTGCAGAAACAAACACAAGCCCAGACTGCGAGACAGACACCCACGTCTCGTTTTTCCGTGACAAGCCCGTGTGCTCCGAGCAGCCGGGTGACGTAGCCTGTTGGGTTGTGGAGTGACGTGGTGAGTCTGTGTGTAGTGATGTGTCTGGCTGCTTGCATTTTGTTGACGGTCGGGCACGGAGCGAGGGGACACGGAGAAGAGGAGGGAGGAGAGGCGAGAGAGGTGGATTTTTTTCACACACAAAAAAGAAGGTTACACGCGGGCGACCAGGATTTACACACGGTAATTAGTCACTGTCACCGGGCCTCTGTACCACTCCCCTCCACGAAAAGAAAATCGCACGTTTACCCTGTAAACAGCATGCTGTACTGTACTGATGGCAAGGTATGGGAACTGAAGGTGTGTAGCTAGCGAGTGAATTGACCAGTTTGCACTGGGGCGATACAGTTTTATTGCACGCATGCTATCAAGGGAGGTCGCTTCGCTGACGCTGTTAATTTGTTTTGGGTTGCTGTTCTTAGCCACACACACACACCAAAAAAAAAAAATATTGCGTTTAAAAAAACACGAAATAAAAGTAGCAACTGAAGCACAGTAAGGTATTTCCCCTCTGTATCGGGGTATCTGTTAGCTAAGTATTATTTCTAAAACGCGTTTTCTGGTCGACGAGTGCAATTCTGATTATTCAAGGATTGCCCTTCCTCTGTTCGGGGATATACTCGGTTTAGGACGGGGGCACCAAGGGTTTGGCTGTGCGGTAGCGTGTGTGTGGGGGGTGGGGGTGAGAGGCAGGAAGAGAGTCCCGTGAAAGGTGTACGATACAGTGAATGTCATGAACACTACACAGGCGAGCCGGTGGCACAACATAGTGGAGGAAATAAAGAAAAGAGAGGTAGGTGGGGAGAAAAGCGAGTGAGTGAGAGTCGTGTGTCCGCTGTCCTTGCTAGGAAAGGAAAGGAGGGGGGGGAGTGCACCCGGAGCAGAGTAACGAAATGTCAAGATACAGCAGCCGCCACAACAACGCTGAGCGCTGCGCTTGAAAACCATCGGTGTCCGAGCACACTGCAGAGCGGACAGGGGGACCGGGCGGAGCGGTGACTATCCGCTAGGAGGAGAAAGCGGCGTTTGGGCGAATTTGGGACGAACCGTTAAGATATCGGGTGAACCAGCGTACTGTGCCGTTTAGTCATCAGCCAGCCCTTGTGGACGCGGCATCACCGCGACTAGCTCACGCTGAAACATCGGCCGGGACTCGAGGGGTAGCCTGCTTCTGGTCGACTGAATTGGGGATTCACTCTGCCGCACGGACTGTCGTTGTTATTGCGCTACAGTGGATACATGTTTGTTTTTTTTTACCTCGATTGCAGCTTTATACTTTGCTCTACATCCGAACCATCTGGTGCATATCGGAGAAGGTCAATGCTGTCGGCGGTGCTTCAGTTGAACCTGACTGGATCTAAGCGGAACTGAGACGATACTGGAATTCAAGGCTTGTGTAAGTTAGACATCTTCATCCTTTACCTTTGAGAGAATTTTTAGTTGGGTCATAATTTGTATCTATTTATTTTTTCTTTACCTGTATCATATGATCTGTATAACACTCCCCCTTCTGTTACTTTGACCATTTAAACGCCACTGTCTAATTTAAGAAACTTATTTTATTATTGTATGTTTTGTAATTCCATACATATTGGACCCTGTTACGTCTCATTAGAAACTGTGGTTCTGTACGCACCAGTCTGTAAAAGACTGCATTTTTCCTAATAAGTGCAAATATACCTGGTTGTTCTTTTAATATGGCGAAGAGCTTGAAATAAGATTTATACCAACATGTAAGACACAGGCTGAAAAGAATGTCTGGTGTAACATTTTGTACTATGCCTAAAAGGATTAAGATGACTGTTCTTCTTGGTTGTTGTTTTTTTTAGGATTAGTATACAAGTGTGCAGTCCATCACAAACATGTATGTAAAAGGAAAGATGATAATCTACGATCGCCGTGAATGTTAAGGAGCACATCCTTTCAGGAACAAAAAATAAAGACACACGCCAACAACAACAACAACAACAAAAACTCAAAGGAAAGGCATGGCTGGCACGCCGACCACTTTGAAACACACTTTAAAAGACGTGGCCTTACTCAAAGGAAGCATGAAGCGGCTGTGCAGAGAGAGACTGGAAGACGCCCCTATTAAAAAGAGGGTGGTGGCAGAAATACATCTGAAACGCCGGACTCTGGAAGGAGTCCCCAGAATGCCAAAAGTCAAGCAGGAACACATGGAGGACCCCGGGGAAGCAGCTGTCTGCGAGAGGGAGAGACAGGGCAGGCAGCTGCCCGTTCCACCATCAAAGGCCCTGGACCTCAGTCCGGGCCTCAAGCACACGCTGGCCCAGTTCCACCTCAGCAGCCAGAGCTCCCTGGGTGGGCCAGCTGCGTTTTCTGCACGCAACCCCCAGGAGTCGCCCAGTGTCTTTGTCCCCCTTCCTTCTCCGCCAGCGTTGCCTGGCCCGCTCCTGATCCCCTGTGACAGTTCCACCGAGCTCACTCACTCTCTGCTGGAGGGCGAGTCCATCTCTTGCTTCGTGGTGGGCGGCGAGAAGAGGCTGTGTCTCCCGCAGGTGCTCAATTCCGTCCTGCGGGACTTCTCCCTCCAGCAGATCAACCTGGTCTGCGACGAGCTGTACATCTACTGCTCCCGCTGCAACGCCGACCAGCTGCACATCCTGAAGGTGCTGGGCATCCTGCCTTTCAACGCGCCCTCCTGCGGCCTGATCACGCTGACGGACGCCCAGAGACTGTGCAACGCCCTGTTGCGCCCCGGCGCGCCCCTGCAGGGCTCCTGCAAGCTGGGGGGCAAGGCCCTGCCGGAGGAGGGCGAGGGCAGCTTCGCGGTGGAGCACGAGTGCCTGGGGAAGTGCCGGGGCCTGTTTGTGCCGCGGTTCTACACTCAGCCCGACGCGCCGTGCATCCAGTGCGCCGAGTGCCAGCTGATGTTCTCGCCGCAGAAGTTTGTGATGCATTCCCACAAGTCCCCCGACAAGAGGACCTGCCACTGGGGCTTTGACGCCGCCAAGTGGCCCTGCTACCTCCAGCTCGGGAGGAGGTACTGCGAGACGCCCAAGGAGGGCCAGCTCAAGCAGCTGCTGGAGGAGATGAAGGAGAAGTTCCACGGCCAGCCGAAAAAAGCTCTGGAGAAGGTAAGCTGGGGTTAGCACTCCTGTACCTGACGTTCTTGTGACGGCCTGCTCTTCACATGTTTCGCCTGGGCTGGCTGTACAGGCGGGCGGTGTTTCATCTGACAGATTGTGTTCTGTAGTTCCATGGAGGGGTCTCACTGAAGGGACACTCCTGGCAGCTGTTCACCTGCTGGGGGATGCCACGGTTTACAGGGATGTCAATGGTTTATGAGTCTGCTGTGCGTGGTATAGGGGGTCAGGCGTTGCTTTTGTGCCGTAGAGGTTGCTAGGCCAGGGCCAGCTTTTGTCTTGTCACCTCAGACATACAACACATACATGTCATTATGAGCCAGCCCGTTTCCCTGCTGTGAAATTGCATTGAGGTAATCCTACTACATCTTGTTTTAGCATTTATTTGCAACAGACTACAGTGTAGGGAGAATACAACAGATCCCTTTCTCAGTAAGGTAAAGCACATTGCCACAGCAGACTGGTTGTGCCATAATGTCTGTATGTTAAGCTTATGTGAGCAGTTTTCTGTTAAGAACCCTTGTAGCATAGGAATATCTTCAACAAAAGACGTAACCTGTTGCATTACTGTGAAATGTCTGACATTCCATAAAACCTTAATTGACTTACAGGTACCCATATATCTAATTTTTATGTTTTTAGTCCAGAAATAGACATTCAGTACAGAAGAAGGTTTTAAAACAGTCCTTGCTACCTCCATATGAGGTGTTGTCTAATGAAATTGTGGACCTGGCTTACAAGAGGTGAACACTCAAAGTCTGGACAAAATCTATTTCAATATGTTGAAATAATAAAATGGATACAAGATCTGGGCAAAACAGGCCTACATTTTGGAATGATTTTTTATATGTTCCTCTTCAAAAGACTGATTTACTATAAATGTTTCTCCTGACTGTAGTATGCAGTATCATGGGTTATGGTTAGCCCTAAAAAAGTGAAAAGGGGGAGATTTTGTAGCCTTTTGTATGTCATAACTGAAAACTGAAAAGTTACTAAGAGCTAGGGGGAAGACCAGCTCCAAATGAAAGGATAGAAACAGAATTGTGTCACTGTGAACTGCCTACGCTGTGAGTTTCGTTTGACAGCCCCTCACATGACTAGTATGATGAGAAGTGCAGTAAAAAAGATCCATCTGATTATAGTAAATACAGTGTAGCAAGGTGACTGTCACTTTCACTGTCTTGGGTGTTCAGGAAGACAGGGTATGTGTCAAAAATACTTATAATTCGCACAGATTTTCAATGAAGCACTGTTTTTTTTTGCTGTTACACCACGCAAAGCTGGAATTTTTAAGGCAAAAAATAATACTGTTTTCTTCTCTAAACAGCTATTGTAGATGTTTATTTTCATGTTGCAAGAGCGACTTGCAAGTGCTGTTATTATGTCTAGATATGCAGGTGCACGATGCTGTAATCTCTCGTCCACAATCTGGCTGAGCAGGGAAGCTTCTGTACTTTAGTTTTAAACGTGTTCCGGAAATACCGTCTGGTGTCTCGTCTAGCTCTCAAACCACATTCCTGTTGCTGTACCTTGATCATCACAGCCTTCACAGCCTTGCTCAGACATGCAGGTCCTTTTGTGAAACAGTCTGTCTGCCGTAGACTGACACAAGCCAATATTATCTGCAGTTTCTGCTCTCATTCAGTGCAGAGTGTTCCTGCCTCTACCCCCCAGGCTGGGCCTCAGTTTAAATGTGAACCATGCTGGTCTGTGAAGCAATTACTCTCTCACTGCATAATGAGCACTTAACAGCTGGATTGTGACACATTTGTGTCTGGCGGTGTCTCACACCTTGGGAAGACCCTTCTGATTATTGCGTTTCAGAACCTGGCATGGTTTTGCAGCAGAGCGCTGGAAGCGTTTGTTTTCCTTTTACTTAATTCTCCACCCTGTCCCTCCTGATAGTTTTTCTTGGACACCTTCGTTTGAAACAAAAGGCTCCACTGAGTGCTGCCCCTTTTAGGTACCAAATGTTGAAAATGTTACAAATTCCAGCAAATGGGGGTTTGCAGTCATCATCAACATATGATCTTATGCAGGAGTACGTGCAGTCTAAATGTTGGTATTTGTGAGAGCCAAGTGGTAAATAAACAGTGAGACTCTTGAGTAAACAAATGGATCATAATTTAGTTAGAACATAGGAATATATAACATAGAAAGGTTTCTAAAAAGCAGGGACATTTTTAGAGTTTTTATAGCTCATTTGGTTGCTAGTAGATGATTCATCCAATTATTTCCTTCAGGCATTTCTTGAAGGAATTCAAGTATCGGCTTCAACGGTGTGGCCCCGGATAACTGGTTCCAGAGTCCCACAACTGTGTCTTAAAAGAAGTGCTTCTTTAAATTCACTCCGCCTTAATGTCCAGTTGTGTTCTCTGGTTCAGTGTTAAAATCAGGTAGCGTAGTCGCAAGCGTCTTTGCATTTCTTTGTGATTTGAAAAGTCAAGGGATGCAGAAGACGAGAGCAGTATACATATTGTAGTTTTGAAGTTATTTCGTAGTGTTGCGTTTTCATTCCTTCAATCTGTTCTCTTTGAAGATACAGATAGGTTTACAGGGAATTTTTAAAAAATGCTTAGTGTTGAACTGTGCCAGACAGGACAAGGGGAGCCATCTACGTAAGCACTCTTCATCATGTGAAATTATCTTTTTGACTAGCCCTGACTCATGGTAAGAAGCTCTGAGTCACAGTTTCCAGTCCTGTTTTCAGATGGGATGTGTGGATGTTGTTAAAATGCATGCTTTCAGTGAGATTGCGTTGTGTTTATGTGAAGAATGTGCATCTACATACAAAGGAACAAGTAATAGGTTTATTCCATGCTGAAAAAAAGAAGAAAGAGAACACAACGTTTGTCAGACACACCTGAAGAAGGCTCCACGGCCGAAACGTTGTGTTCTCTTTCTTCTTTTTTTCAGCATGGAATAAACATATTACTTGTTCCTTTGCAGCCTACGCATGCTGACGCAGCTACCCACCTGAACATGTACATACAAAGACATACATGACTGATTTAGTGAGTGAGACTGCATGCATGCATGTGTCTGTTTTTTTCAGCCCTGTGGAAAAGTGATATAGCACATATCCTTAAGAAAGCTGACTTAAGGTTATTTGCAGCGGTTATGGTTAGTCCTTACTAAGCCTTGACTGCATGTGTTACCCCAATAATAGTTTCACAGGCCGCCAGACACCCAAAAATAAAGAAGTGAGCAGAAATGCACAAATACAAGAGAACCACATTTACTAAAATGCATCTGATGACTTGAATAGTCTGAAAGACTCACTAGGCATTAGAAGAACAGAGTCTTTGGAGACCCAGGTAGCGGGAGGTTAAAAAGCATTCGTGGCTCTTGAGTTGTTTTTGTAAAATTACTCTCAGTTTTCTGTTAATAGCAAAGTGTCCTTTACACTGTCTGTGGGCTAGAAAAATATAAAAATTGCCCAGGCAGTTTGTCTTTGTGCCTCTGTGGTTGTTGGTTCGGCATTTTACAGATTTTGGTTTTCCTTTAAAAAAAAAGGCAAAGAAAACATGCTCGCTGTCTGAGAGGCTGCGGTACAGACACAGACAGCCGCATAATTGTGTTCCTATTTGGAAACCAGTGACTTCATTACCACAGGCCTCCTTCTCCTCATCCTCCCACTCCCTGCTGCTCATCTGACATCACTGGCAATTCCACTACACTCCGGCATGATGGAGGTCAGAGCAGATTCACATTACAGAGGATTCCTTCCGTTCCATCCGTTGCTCTAAAAAAACGAATGACCCAAAAAACAATTGATATGTCTTTGTTTTCTCTGTGTGTGTTGAGGAAGCACTAAGTTTGATTTCCTGAGCCACTGCTGGCAGGAGTCTTTTGCCTTCATATTGCCCACATTCTTAAAGGTGGTGTTTTAAAGGTGGGCATCCCAAAACGATTCTCTTTCCTTACCCCCACACAAATTCCAGTCATATGTAGAAGCCACAAAGAGGCCTTACTGTACGCGCTTTAATGATCAATACCCTTGGCTCCAATTAACTGTCAGTAACAAATAGCAGGCAAATGACCAGATAAACTGACAATTACAGTAACAAAGGTCAATTGTACATACCTTTAAAAGAGAGGGGAAGGAAAGGGACTTAAATATTGATTGTCTGGGTCTGTGATAAATTGCAGGGGTCGCCGTGATATAGATTGTTTGACCATTGCATGGGATTGTAGGATGTGAAATAAAGCATTCGCTGGCCCAGGTGTTGCCTGCTTTTTGCCGTATCCCTGACATTACATAAAAATTCAGCCCATGAAATCGGCTGCCATCTGTGGAAGGCAGCTGCTGTTCTGATAGTCCGGGGACTCAGTCCGGGTCAGTTGGCACGGCGATGTTGCAGACAGCACGGAAGCAACCAGGGAAAATAAATAGAAAACACTTGATTAGACCAGGTTCGTCTGGATTTCTCCTGGTCAAGGGAGGCGGTCTAACCTCAATAGGCATCTCCTAAAGATGGAGGCCCAGACATCCCTCACTGCTTGCTGATACAGCAGCTTCCACAGTGTCTCACGCCAGTTGTCTCTGCGCTTGGTTTATTGTACGGTACTCCAAGTAAGCAAAGTGCTTTTTAATAACATATATAAGCCAAGCCTCCTTTTACTTGGAAATAGTAAAGTTGGGTCTGAATGAAAAGTGAGACTAAATGAGTGGCAGTAGGTTGGATAGTTAGGATAACAGTAAAGAATTTGGTGTGTTGCGAATTTCTTGTGTTCAGGAAAAGAAGGCTCCACAGCCAAAACTTTGTTTTTTTTTCTTTTCAGCATGGGTACCTGTTCCTTTACAGCCTACGCATGCTGACACAGCTACCTACTTGAACTTCTTCAAACCATTTGGTGTGTTGTACCATTACCTTCACCCTTAACAGAGCTGTAAATAATATTCTGTCCAGCTTGCTTCTTGTGTCTTGTTTCTGTCTGGGTCAATTACATTCCCAAACCTTTCAGTTGCGGCTTGTTCAAAAGAGCTG